AAAAGGCTGAGGAGAGAGTCCTTTCCGGCTGTGCTTTCCAGTCGCTCGTCCTTGAGCCGCTGGGCCGTGTCGTGCAGGCTCTCGGTCGCCCTCTCGAGAACCAGAGCTGGCCTTCCGAGGGAGCTGGTGAGAACGGCGAAGGCTCGCACGACGTTCGGGTGCTGGCCGATTGCCCCCAGGATGGCGAACTCCTCCGACACGTCGAGCTGGCCTGCAGCAGCCCTTTGCATGGGATCTCGCAGTCCCCGACCCAAGGCTAGCTTGAGGGCCAGCGGCTGGCCCTGGAAGGACCCCACAAAGACGTGCCCAGTTACCCCACTGCCGACCTCTTTCAAGTCGCGAACGGCCACTCCCAACGTCCAGGTCCAGGAGTCCTTGGCCAGCTCGCTCCTCTCGTAGTCCGCCTCCAGTCTCTGCTCCTGTCCAAGTGCCACGGCCTCCGCACCACCCTGAGCAGCTTCCTCTTCCGGCTCGAGTGGCAAGTGACCCCTGCTCTGGGCAGTTCTGAAAGCCACTGCCTTGGCACGGTTGTCCTCGTAGGCCTTGTGTGCCAGGGCCTTGAAACGGTCGCGAACGTCCTTGCTCTTTTTGTGGTTCCTGAGTGCAGCAAGGTTCGCGGTTGTGCAGGAAGCTTCAAGCGGGGACAGGGCGAGGCAGTCACTACCTGTTCTGTTGTTTCTGAGTCGTTGCTCTAGGCTCGGGGCACACGTTCTGCAACTTGAAAATGTCCTACTGAATGCGGTTGCTGCAGGCAGTTAGTTTCCTAAGCTTCCCGATAGCTTTTGGGGCTGTCTAGGGGCTTCGTCTCAAAAGAAGGAAACCCAGGAACAGCGACCTTAATATATGGAGTTTCTAGGCAAAAAAGCAAACCCAACAACACACAGCTTAGAGTCCCTTAAAAAAACACACAAAAACCCTGGAAAAAAGCTGAAAAGCACTTGAAACGCACCTCAAAAAAGCTGAAACGCACCTCTCTCCGACTCTGTTAGATTATTAGATGCTAAACACAGGCCCCAGAGTCCACTTGACCTTCATGGCAGCCTGATTCCGCAGCATTCGTTTGCCACGCACACGAAACCGAGCCGCTTCAGTGTCCGAGAGACCCTCGCGAGCGACCCACGAGCTAAAGAGTGCCCAGGCGCTGGGCGGCCTTAGGCCGCCGGTTTCGGCCAAACTCGCCCGAGGCATCACTACAAAAAAAAACAAGCTTGAGCAACAGAACTACGCACTTGCAGGTCCTGAAAGTTGTCTAGTCTTCGAGCATAGGCTTCTGGACATCCCAAAACCCACTGTCACGAGGCAAAGACTGGCTGCAAAAACTTAGTCGGTCTGGCAAGGCCCTGCCTCCTGCTTCGGGTACGGAGCACCGCCAGCACGAACTCGATTGGAGTGCTCTGGCCTGGGCGAAAAGGCTGTTAACACTTTCACTACGAGAGGGAGCGAACGCAGGTGCATTCCGCAGGCAGTACTGAGACGTGCCTTTTGTCTTCATCCGCTCTAATCCTGAGGCTTGCATTGGCTCCGCTGCTTCAGCGAAAACAGGCCCCTTGCGAACGACCTCACCTCCTCGGCGGCCTTGAGACGAAAAGGACCGTCCCAACCACGCTCTGCAGATTCATGCTCTCATCTTCTGCAGCATCGTGGCCGCTTCCTCGGGCATGTCGACCCCGTCGAAGGTCTCTGCCCAAAGCCAGCCTTGCCGAACGACCTCAGCCCCGGCGGCCTTGCTGCCAATGGCCGTCCAGGAAATACTACGGCTCGCATACGACCAAAAGGTGGAGTACGAGACTTTCCACCGCCCGTTGCGATCGTCCCGGTACACCCGAACAGAGGCAGGCACGGCGGCCTTCACTGCTTTGTCCACGTCTGAGCTGACCACGGCATAGCAACGTTTGATCTCGTTGGCCCTCGCCTTGTTGTCCTGCTCGGCCTTTTTCTCCTTTGCCTTTCGAGCAGCCTGTCCCTTTTTGAACTGCGGGCGGCTCGCGAAGGTCCTGGCCACGTGGTCGAATGTCTTAGACACCCGCTTGCGAACCTGAGTCGCCGTCTGCTGGGTGGCCTTTCGCTTGGCGATCTGCTGCAAGGCCACCTCCTGGTCGGCCGA